ATCTCTGTGGAGGGGTCTGGACAGGGCTGGGTCCATGGGGGTCAACGAGTGCCACGTCCTTCACTTGGATCGACCCCATGGGATGCCCCAAGCTGGCCCAGCACATCCAGCACCACCAGAGGTTCCTGGAGGGGCTCAGATACGTGGTGAGGGCACACCTGGGGTCAGGTTTGGATGGGATGTGGATCTCCTGAGGGTGGGAATCTCTGCAGTGGGATCTGGACAGGCTGGATCCCCATGGTGTGGGAATCAATGAGTGCCACGTCCTTCACTTGGATCACTTGGATTGACCCCATGGAATGCCCCGAGCTGGGCAAAGGAGTGGCTGGAAAGCCACCTGGTGGGGAAAAAAAAGGCTGGGAAAAATTCCTTCATGGAAAGGGTTCTCCAGCCCTGGCATTGGGGTGGAGTCCCCAACCCTGGAGGGATCCAAGATCCCCATGGATGTGGCACTTGGGGACACGGATCAGTGACAGGAGAATTGTTGGACTCCGTGTTCCCCAGGGGCTTTTCCAGCCTGGAATATCCACGATTCCCTGTCCAGGTACAGCCAGGCAGACATTTTGTGTCCAGAGGAGAGGCTGAAGTGCAGTTTGGGTTGTTTGGGTGATGGATGGGATGTGACTTAATTCCCGAAAACCGGAGCGGTTTGTGTTCCAGCCGCCTCTGCCAGAGGCCTCCCTGAATCACTTCCTCCCTCCTCCCTTGTTTGTCTGGGATGTTTTCCCCCCTCTCCCTGGCAGGGCTGGAAGAAGGAGCGAGTTGTGGCGGAGTTCTGGGACGGGAAGATCGTGCTGATCCTCCCGACTGACCCCAAATACGCCGTCAGGAAGGTACACGAGTGTTTGGTTTGGGATTCCTCCTGGGCATGAGCTCTGTGCTGGCTCAGGTCCCCAAACCCCTCCCTGCAGGGTGGTGACAGGGCACAGGGAGAGCTCAGGGGGGCTGGGGTGGGAGTTTGGGGGGGTTGAACCCTCATCCTGACACATCCTCACCCTCCTCCATGTCCCAGCACAGCCTGATCCCAACACAGCCTGATCCCAACACAGCCTGATCCCTCCTGTCCCAGCACAGCCTGATCCTTCCTGTCCCAACAGTGCCTGATCCCATCACAGCCTGATCCTTCCTGTCCCAACAGTGCCTGATCCCATCACAGCCTGATCCCAAAACAGCCTGATCCCTCTTTTCCCAGCACAGCCTGATCCCAACAGTGCCTGATCCCTCCTGTCCCAACACAGCCTGATCCCAGCACAACCTGATCCCAGCACAGCCTGATCCTTCCTGTCCCAACATTCTCTGATCCCTCTTCCCAGCATGGCCTGATCCCAACACAACCTGATCCCTCTTTTCCTGGAGCTCTCTGATCCCAGCTCAGCCCGATCCCAACACAGCCTGATCCCTCCTGTCCCAGGACAGCCTGATCCCAACACAACCTGATCCCTCTTTTCCTGAAGCTCTCTGATCCCAACCCAGCCCGATCCCAGCACAACCTGACCCCTCTTTTTCCAGCACAACTTGATCCCAGCACAGCCTGATCCTTCCTGTCCCAACATTCTCTGATCCCTCTTTTCCCAGCACAGCTTGATCCCAACACAACCTGATCCCTCTTTTCCTGGAGCTCTCTGATCCCAACACAACCTGATCCCTCTTTTCCTGGAGCTCTCTTTTCCCAGCACAGCTCGATCCCAACACAACCGATCCCTCTTTTCCCAGCACAGCTTGATCCCAACACAACCTGATCCCTCTTTTCCCAGCCCAGCCCGATCCCAACACAACCTGATCCCTCTTTTCCCAGCACAGCTTGATCCCAACACAACCTGCTCCCTCTTTTCCTGCAGCTCTCTGATCCCAACACAACCTGATCCCTCTTTTCCTGAAGCTCTGTGATCCCAGCCCAGCCTGATCCCAACACAACCTGATCCTTCCTGTCCCAACATTCTCTGATCCCTCTTCCCAGCACGGCCTGATCCCAACACAACCTGATCCCTCTTTTCCTGCAGCTCTCTGATCCCAGCCCAGCCCGATCCCAACACAACCTGATCCCAACACAACCTGATCCCAACACAACCTGATCCCTCTTTTCCTGGAGCTATCTGATCCCAGCCCAGCCTGATCCCAACACAACCTGATCCCTCTTTTCCTGAAGCTCCCTGATCCCAGCCCAGCCCGATCCCAACACAACCTGATCCCAGCCCAGCCTGATCCCAACACAACCTGATCCCTCTTTTCCTGAAGCTCTCTGATCCCAGCACAGCCTGATCCCAACACAGCCTGATCCCTCTTTTCCTGAAGTTCTCTGATCCCAACACAACCCAATCCCAACACAACCTGATCCCAACACAACCTGATCCCTCTTTTCCCAGCACAGCCTGATCCCAACACAACCTGATCCCTCTTTTCTGAATCTCTGATCCCAACACAACCCAATCCCAACCCAACCTGATCCCTCTTTTCCTGCAGCTCTCTGATCCCAGCCCAGCCCGATCCCAACACAACCTGATCCCTCTTTTCCTGCAGCTCTCTGATCCCAGCACAACCTGATCCCTCTTTCCTGCAGCTCTCTGATCCCAGCCCAGCCCGATCCCATGTCTCCCAACCCATCCCGATCCACTCCTCCCCGTCCACCCTCCCCATGGCCATGAACTCTTCCCTCCCCCGTGGAACCCCGGGATGATTCCCTGGCATTCCCCCCTTTTCCCGGCGGCGTTCCCGCCCGTTGATCCCGGTGTTTTGCAGGCGGAGGAGGTTCGGGAGATCGTGGATGACGAGCTGGGATTCCAGCAGGTGGCCCTGGGCTGCCCGGCCCAGAGCAGGACCTACCTGTTCGTGTGCGAGGGGAGGATGGTCGTGGGCTGCCTGCTGGCCGAGCCCATCAAACAGGCACGTCTTAATTAATAATTAACCCCAATTAATTAACCCCAATTAATTAACCCCAATTACCTGTTCGTGTGCGAGGGGAGGATGGTCGTGGGCTGCCTGCTGGCCGAGCCCATCAAACAGGCACGTCTTAATTAACTCCTTAATTAACCCCAATTAATTAACCCCAATTAATTAACCCCAATTACCTGTTCGTGTGCGAGGGGAGGATGGTCGTGGGCTGCCTGCTGGCCGAGCCCATCAAACAGGCACGTCTTAATTACCTAATTAATTAACCCTAATTACCTGATTGTGGGCTGTCTGCTGGCCGAGCCCATCAAACAGGCATGTCTTAATTACCTCATTAATTAACCCCAATTAATTAACCCCAATTACCTGTTCGTGTGTGAGGGGAGGATGGTCATGGGCTGTCTGCTGGCTGAGCCCATCAAACAGGCACGTCTTAATTACCTCCTTAATTAACCCTAATTACCTGTTCTTAATTAATAATTAAACAAAATTAACTAACTCCGATTACCTGTTCTTAATTACCAATTAACCCCAATAATTAACCCCAATTACCTGTTCGTGTGCGGAGGGAGGATGGTCGTGGGCTGTCTGCTGGCCGAGCCCATCAAACAGGCACGTCTGAATTACTGATTAATTACTAATTAACCCAATTACCTGTTCTTAGTTACTAATTAACCCCAATTAATTAACCCCAATTAATTAACCCCAATTACCTGTTCGTGTGTGAAGGGAGGATGGTCGTGGGCTGTCTGCTGGCCGAGCCCATCAAACAGGCACGTCTTCATTACCTTGTTAATTAACCCCAATTAATTAACCCCAATTAATTAACCCCAATTCCCTGTTCGTGTGGGAAGGGAGGATGGTCGTGGGCTGCCTGCTGGCCGAACCCATCAAACAGGCACGTCTTAATTAATAATTAACCCCAATTAATTAACCCCAATTACCTGTTTGTGTGCGGAGGGAGGATGGTCGTGGGCTGCCTGCTGGCAGAGCCCATCAAACAGGCATGTCTTAATTACCTCATTAACCCTAATTACCTGGTCTTAATTAATAATTAACCCCAATTAATTAACTCCGATTACCTGTTCTTAATTACTAATTAACCCCAATTAATTAACCCCAATTAATTAACCCCAATTACCTGTTCGTGGGCTGTCTGCTGGCCGAGCCCATCAAACAGGCACGTCTTAATTACCTCATTAATTACTAATTAACCCCAAATACCTGTTCGTGGGCTGTCTGCTGGCCGAGCCCATCAAACAGGCACGTCTGAATTACCTCGTTAATTAACCCTAATTACCTGTTCTTAATTAATAATTAACCCCAATTACCTGTTCGTGTGCGGAGGGAGGATGGTCGTGGGCTGCCTCCTGGCCGAGCCCATCAAACAGGCACGTCTTAATTACCTCATTAATTAACCCCAATTAATTAACCCCAATTAATTAACCCCAATTACCTGTTCGTGTGGGAGGGGAGGATGGTCGTGGGCTGCCTGCTGGCCGAGCCCATCAAACAGGCACGTCTTAATTACCTTGTTAATCAACCCCAATTAATTAATCCCAATTACCTGTTCATGTGCGGAGGGAGGATGGTCGTGGGCTGCCTGCTGGCCGAGCCCATCAAACAGGCATGTCTTAATTACCTTGTTAATTAACCCTAATTAATTAACCCATATTACCCATTACCTGTTCGTGTTGCGGGGGGAGGATGGTCGTGGGCTGCCTGCTGGCCGAGCCCATCAAACAGGCATGTCTTAATTACCTAATTAATTAACCCTAATTACCTGTTCGTGGGCTGCCTCCTGGCCGAGCCCTTCAAACAGGCATGTCTTAATTACCTAATTAATTAACCCTAATTACCTGATTGTGGGCTGTCTGCTGGCCGAGCCCATCAAACAGGCACGTGTTAATTAATAATTACTAATTAACCCCAATAATTAACCCCAATTACCTGTTCTTAATTACTAATTAACCCCAATTAATTAACCCCAATTACCTGTTCGTGGGCTGTCTGCTGGCCGAGCCCATCAAACAGGCACGTCTTAATTAATAATTAATCCCAATTACCTGTTCTTAGTTACTAATTAATCCCAATTACCTGTTCGTGGACTGTCTGCTGGCCGAGCCCATCAAACGGGCACCTCTTAATTACTAATTAACCCCAATTAATTAACCCCAATTACCTGTTCTTAATTACTAATTAACCCCAATTACCTGTTGGTGTGAATCAGGAAATCACAGTCCCAAAAGTCATCGGGAAACCCCAAATAACCTCTGAACTGCTTCCCAAAACAGGGCCTGAACAATTCCAGGGTTCTGGAATTACATTTTCAGGAAGGGCCTGAACAATTCCAGGGTTCTGGAATTTCCATTCTTAGGAAGGGCCTGAACAATTCCAGGGTTCTGGATTTACAATTTTTAGGAAGGGCCTGAACAATTCCAGGGTTCTGGATTCCCATTTTCTCCCGGGAATTTGTCCCTCTAATTCAGGGATCCAGCTTCATTCCCGGTCTGATCCCCCCCAGTGCATTTTTTGAGGGGAATTCCAGGAGGGTGAGGAAAATGTTTGGGTGGTGGGAGGTGAAAGAAGGAGGAAGAAGCTCTTCTTTGGGATTTGAACTGAGCCTTTGGGCATGGCCAGGGGTTTTCCTGGGAAAGGACCCAAAGGATCATCCCATTCCGTGGGCAGGGACACCTCCCACTATCCCAGGGAATCCAGCCCGGCCTGGGACACTTGTGTGCTGGGAAAGTGGGAAATCCACGTTGGGGTGATCCCAACCAGCACCTTCCATCCCTGGGAGTGTCCCAGGCCAGGCTGGACAGCATGGAATGGGATCCCATGGAATGGGATGGGATTTAAGGGCCCTTCCCACCCAACCCATTCCAGGATTCCAGGATAAAGGACACTCAGGATCCAGTCAGAGGGGTTTTTATGGAATGTGGGGATGGAAAAGGCAGGAAAGGGGAAGGGAGACCCTGCCCTGAGTGCCGAGATTCCCAGGGAACCCCCTTGTTCCCGGAACTCCTTCCCAGGGAGGAGCTGGGCTGGGGATGGATCCAATGGCAGGCTCTGGCTCCAGGCTGGGAGAGCTGGGAATGGCCAGGCTGGAGAAGGGAAGGATCCCGGGAGAGCTTGGAGCACATTCCAGAGGCTGAAGGGGCTCCAGGAGAGCTGGAGAGGGACTGGGGATGAGGGCCTGGAATGCCAGGCCCCAGGGAATGGATCCCAGTGGGAAAGGGGAGATTTGGGGGGGAGATTGGGAAGGGATTCCTGGCTGGGAGGGTGGGGAGGGGCTGGGCTGGAATTCCCAGAGAAGCTGTGGCTGCCCCTGGATCCCTGGGAGTGTCCCAGGCCGGGTTGGATCCCCTGGGATAGCGGGAGGTGTCCCTGTCCATGGAATGGGATGGGATCTGAGGTCCCTCCCCACCCAAACCATTCCAGGATTCTGGGATCCCCAAAAAGCAAGGATGGACCTTTTCCCATCGCTTTGGGCTTTCCCTCCCCTGCATTCCCGTGGTTCCCAGGGAAGAGCCTGGCAGGGTTTCTCTTGGAGCAATCCCACATCCAAGCACGGGAAAACCGGGATGCAGCTGCCTGGTTTTCCTGGGGTTCGATGGGATATCGGGAAGGTTCGGCTGGAGGGGTGGGGAGGGCTGGCTGGAATTCCAGAGAAGCCAGTGGCTGCCCCTGGATCCCAGTTGGATTCAGGTTGGACAGGGTGTGTCCCACTGGCCCGACTGATCCCGGTGTTCCCCGCAGGCGTTCCGGGTGCTGTCGGATCCTGCCCCGTGTCCCGGCCCGGATTCCCAGCAGGGAATTCCGAGGGCCTGGCGCTGCTCGGCGGATCCGGAGCCGGCCGTGTGCGGGATCAGCCGGATCTGGGTGCTGGGGCCGCGGCGCCGCCGCGGCATCGCCTGGCGCCTCCTGGACACCCTCAGGTGGGGACATTCCCCCCGGGAATTCCGGGCGGGAAAACCGGGATCTGGGGCGCTCGGGGGAAGGGATCCGTGTGGGAAGTCGAGCCTGGAATTCCCGGCTGGATTCCTGGCTGTGCGTGGGGGGATGTTTTGGTTTAAAATCTTAAATGTTTTCGCTTCAAATCAGTAATTTTTTAAATTTAAAAATCGATGTTTTCATTTCAAATAATTAATATTTTTATTTCAAATCAATATTTGAAATTATTAATATTTTAGAATCAACATTTTTAATTTATAGTCATTCATATTTTAATTAAAAATCAATATAATTTGAAATCATTAACATTTTTATTTAGAATCAATATTTTTATTTATAGCCATTAATATTTGAATTTAAAATCAATATTATTTGAAATCATTCATATTTTTATTTAGGATCAACATTTTTATTCATAGGCATTACTAATTTAATTTAAAATCAATATTATTTCAAATCATTAATCGTTTTATTTAGAATCAATATTTTTATTTTTAGCCATTAATATTTGAATTTGAAATCAATATTATTTCCAATCATTAATATTTTATTTAAAATCAGTATTTATAGTCATTAATATTTTAATTTAAAAATCAATATTTTAATTTGAAATAATTATATTTTTAGAATCAATATTTTTATTTATAAATTATTAATATTTTAATTTAAAAATCAATATTTTCATTTCAAATCATTCATATTTTGATTTGAAATCAATATTTTTATTTAATATTTTAATTTAAAATCAGTATAATTTCAAATCATTAATATTTTTATATAGAATCATTATTTTTATTTGTAGTCATTAATATTTTATTTTCAAATCAATATCATTTGAAATCATTAATATTTTTATATAGAATCAGTATTTTTATTTATAGTCATTAATATTTTAATTCAAAATCAATATAATTTGAAATCATTAATATTTTTATTTAGAATCAATATTTTTATTTATAGCCATTAATATTTTAATTTAAAATCAATATTATTTGAAATCATTAATATTTTCATCTAGAACCAATATTTTTATTTATAGTCATTCATATTTTAATTAAAAATCAATATAATTTGAAATCATTAATATTTTTATTTAGAATCAATATTTTTATTTGTAGTCATTTTTTTTTAATTGAAAAATCAATATTTTCATTTCAAATCATTCATATTTTGATTTGAAATCAATATTTTTATTTGTAGTCATTAATATTTTAATTAAAAATCAGTATAATTTCAAATAATTCATATTTTGATTTAGAATCAATACTTTTATTTACAGTCATTAATATTTTCATTTGAAATCAATATTATTTCAAATCATTACTATTTTATTTAAAATCAGTATTTATAGTCATTAATATACTAATTTAAAAATCAATATTTTCATTTCAAATAATTCATATTTTTATTTTCAAATCAGTATCATTTGAAATCATGAATATTTTTTAGAATCAATATTTTCATTTATAGTCATTAATATTTTAATTTTAAATCAATATCATTTGAGAAAATTAATATGTCTATTTAGAATCAATAGTTTTTATTTATAATTATTAATATTTT